TGGTCAGGTATTAGGCAGCATCTACATGCGTGCTCTTTCTATATGCAGGGCCGCGTGGTCAGCGGCGGCGGCGGCTCGGCAGCAAGCAGCGAGACGCCCCCGTCCACGCGCACGGGCCGGCCGATGACTTGGGGCACCCGGCCGACAAGTCCGGGTCAGGACCGCCGAACATCCAGCCGCCCTGCCTTCCCACCCTCCGAACGAAGGCCATGGGCGTTTGCTACGCCAAGCTCTGCCGCTGTCTACCCTAAACCCTGAAACTAGGGTACGGAACACCGCGTCACCGGGTCGATTGCACGCACACACGACAGAGCAGGAGCAGGAAAGGCCAAACGCACAGAAAAAAATGTAAGTTTAGGTACGCCTACATAGGTGGAATCGCAACCCTTTGCTCGAAGCCAGGGACTCGCGGAGGAAGCGTTTGTTGTGTGGCAACCGGCATGTTGCCGGCTGGTGGGCAAACAGGTCCCCACAATCTGAGCAACTTTCTCTTCTTGTACGCATTCTCCCCCCTCTTGGTCCCTGGCCCGCGGCTCTTACCATCGATCTTGACCTTGACCGACACCCACACTCACCCGTTGTCCGGGCCTTCATCCTGCCGTGGCCGCCTGGCAGCATCAGCAGCAGCAGCACCGCCACAGCCGCCGTTGCCGCTGTCTTGCCCCGTCAAGTATGGCCTCCACGGGCCGGGCACGGAGTGCAAGCTCCACCGCTGCGACGACGACGACGACGACGGGAGCCCGCTCCACGATGCCCTCTCCCCGCCGCCGCTCTCTCCCCCGTACGAGCTCTTACCTCCCACGTGGTAGTACTCCGAGTTCCGTCCGATGCTTGTCGCGTCGCCGGCACTGCTTGCCCCCCGGGCGCCTACCGGGAACGCGTCAGCCGTCCCGGCCGTGCGACCGCCGCAGCCGCCGCCGGTCCCGCCATAGGAGGAGGCCCCGCCGGCTGCCGATCCCCCCCCCCCCGATGCGGGGCCGCTGGGGAGTGGGCTGGCGCTTCCGGGCGGGGTGGACCCGTGGTCGATAAAGGCGGCTCCGTTGTGGCCGTTAGTTTGGAGGCGGCCGTAGTACTGGCCTGCGTAGCGGCCGCCGCCGCCGCCGCCGAAGTTGCTGCGGCAGTCGACCAAATCGGTGGCGAGCATGACGTTGGCATTGGGACCGTTCCATCCAGCGTCGCAGCCGCCGCCGCCGCCGCCACCGCCGCCGCTGCTATTGCTGTTGCCGTCCGCTGCTTCGACCGAGTCTTCGATGTCGAGCAGGCCGGCCGCCTGAGCCAGGACAGACATTCCCGCCTCCGCCCTCGCCATGTCCTGCGGTGCGCCACACGCGTCGTGTCGTAAATAGGCGGTTCGGTGCGACGGTACACACGCACGTTTGTCACAGGTCGTACACGCGGAACAAAAACGTACAGACAAAAACCAGAACAGATCACGCGATATCGACTGACCTCCAGGCACCAAAAAACAAACAGGAACCGATGCAACATACACGCTCGCAGGGGATCGGTCGAAACAAACACCGCCGACAGCTCAAGTCTAACGGCTTCATAGCAGTCTCTTGGTTTGAAAGGCGTTTTCGACACTCTCTCACCGTTTTCCGACGAGTCTGCCCCCCCTTAGGCCTCTTCGCCGCTTTCCTCCCCGGCTCTGCGACGGCGCCGCCGCCACTTCCTCCCGCGGTCTCCTGCCGTCCCCGCCTCTCCGCCCCTTCTCCTGCCGCCGGGGCCCACCCTCGCTTCCAGTGCGCCCCCGCCTCCGCCCCGCCCCTGTTGCAATTGCTATTGTTCCACGGGTCGCCGCCGTCGTGACCCTCTCCGCCGCTGCCTCCACAGGCGGTCCTCTCGCCCCGAGCGGCAACCATGAGCGCCTCCATTGCCGCGGAGCGGCCGACTCCGGCATCGCCGCCGCCGCCACCGCCGCCGCCGCTGCTAGCGGCGGCAGCATTGTCGTCACTCTCATTTCCCCCGGCGGCTGTCCCGAAGCCCGTCGCCGACGAGGCGTTGCTGCCCTCGGTGCGGTCGTCCCTCCCGTCGACGTTGCTGCTGCTACCGTTGCTCTTGCTACCGTTGCTCTTGCTACCGTCGCTACCGGTGCTGTCACTACTACTACTGCTGCTGCTGCTTCTCTTCTTGCTGGCGCCGCCCTTCCTGCCGCTGCCGGCCTTGCTCCTGCCACTGGCTCCGTCGACATCGCCGCCCTTACCCTTGCTGCTACTACTCTTGCTTCCGCCGCCGCCGCTGCTGCTAACCTTCTCCTTACCCACATAGGTGCTGTTGGCCCCCGCCTTCTTCTTGTTGGCGGTCGAAGAAGTACACGGGCGCGGGGGGGCCGGCGGATCGGAATCGATGTTCAGGAGAGCCGCCTTCTCCTCCGGGGCGAGCTTGGACATCAGCTCGTTGGCGCGCATCTCGGCCAGGCCCTTGGCGTTGAGGGAGTTGAACCTGTTCTTGATGGCGTTCTCGGAGCGGCCCACCAGGATCTTCGACATCTCGCTCCACTTGTTGCCGAGCTGCCGCTGAGCCTCGCACAGGATCTGGTCCTCCTGCTCCCCCCGTCAACGCGAAAAACGACAGCCGCGAGTTGAGTGGCGCGCAGGGAGGGAGGGAGCGTATGTTAAGAAGCGAGAACCGCGGACCGGCGAACAAGAATCACGTCTCTGCGTACAGCAGCAGCAGAAAAGAACTTGCTGACCACTCATCGGACTTCGCAGGAGAGCCAACGACCGTCATCACTGCCGCTTGATTCCCAAACAGGAGTGATGCTGTCAGTTTCGAAACGCGCGGGTCTCACCGATACACCGCCATCACGCGCGGTGCTCCGAACAAGGTGACCGTAACGTCCCATTGGACGAATCACACCAGGCGACATGCAGTACTCACGACATACACAAAACGTGCGTAACGGCAGACGTGCACAGCAGACAACACGTGCCATACATACGTGACACGCATGACAAAAAAAAACACAGTTCACAAACATGACAAGACATCATCACAACGCACGGCATCGCATGCACCAGCACCAACACGCGCACGCACCTCCGCTGACCACTCCCCTTTTTTCACGCGCCCGTCGACGTGGTTGTGCCACCTTTCCCGGCACTGCTTCCCGGACCGCCCGGGAAAAGCTCTCGCCAGCAAGTTCCTTAGAAAAAAAAAAAAAATGAAGACACATTATCGAAGGGGGCCCGTACGCACACCCCGCCGGTGGGTTGGGAGCCGCGTTTCGATATTGGGCCGAAAAATACAACTGGACTTTCGACCCCCCCCCCCCCTCCTCTCTCTCCAGCGGTACAACAGCACTATTCACAAGGGCTAGCTGGATTCGTCGTGGTAGTGAAATACAGTACCACCCTTGCAGCATGGACGCCGCTAGCTTAATTCCTTTGCCTGAAAAAGTTCAAAGGTCGCAATGGTCTCGTCGATAGATGCTGCTGTGCACGTACGATTTAGTCCGCGCCACAGCATCATCCTCAGTGCCCCTTAAGCCTGGAAAACCTCACCAATACAACATACGCGGGATGGATGTGTCTCTCTGGTTGCCAACGAAAAACACTGCTGTAGTCTATCTATCTTCTTACCCCTCACATCCGCACAGGGTGCCCCGCAGAGCGCGGGGGGGGGGGGGGGGGGCCCCCCCTTTTTAAAACCCAAACCCCCCAAAAAGGCCTTAAGGGGAACCCCCCCCCCGGAAAAACCCGGGCCCCTTACGGGGGTTTTCTTTCCGTATTTCCCCCCGAAAAAACCAAACCAAACCCCCCCGGGGGGGGGAACCCCCCCCCCGCCCAAAACCCCCAAAAAAAAAAAATTTAAAACCCCCCTAGGGGACAGGGAGGGAAAAATGCCTTCCTATGTATTGAAAGATTCCCCCAAAAAAAAAAAGAACAAAAAAACGGGGGGGAGGGAGGGGTCTTTCCCCGGGGAGCAAAAAAACAAAAACC